CCTGTACAATTCTGCACTGTGTCTCTCATATCTGTTACCTGTCTTCTCTTTTGTTTTCTCACTTCTGCTCGCTACTCCATTTCTTCATTCACAACAAAGAAAGAAATGCAGTGATAGTTCTCTTCCTCCCAAAACCTCCGCTAGAAAACATTGGCCATCTCAAGGTAAACAGCCATGGGAAGGCCTCTCATGATTGGCCGGGAATAATATGCATATCAGAAAAGCATGAGCTACCGCTCTTCACCTTCCTTCTGCCATCCATCCGCAGTGCTTCCCTAAAAAGGGCCATGGATTCATATTCTCCTCTAGGTTTTCCAGTATGGGTCCAGTATGAACCAATTCAGATCTTCAGGAAGAGTAAAGGTGAACAGAAATATATTTCCTTCTCCTTGTATTTTGAAGGCCAACCTCATTTCAGTTAGAAAAGAAAGAATATTGGAGAAATTACTTTGAAAAGAAAGACAATTAACGTGGATTCCAAGTAGTGAGAAAATACTTCTTCCCTATGTTTGTTCTTAAGTATGATTATATCATTTCACCTTAAAAACAGTTTGAAGGGTTCTACCAAGATAGATTCTTAGTAATATATGTCTATAAGATCAGTACCCCTTATTGAACAGTTTTGATTGTTCAGTAGCTATAACTTCAATTTAGGCACATATGTCTCATTAAATGGAAGTGTTAGTATGATTATTTCCATGCTTGAAATTTCTGTGAGGTGCTACATTGGCTAACAAACATGCCAAAAGTTTTCCTGCAGAGTGAGGAGATACGTAATAAGCCTGAAACCTGTGTGATGTGTGTGTTTATGACATAAAGAAAATGTTCACATACGTAAGGCCCAGAAAATCTGGTTTAAAGTGCCTTAAAATACACAGAATTTTAAAAATTGTATGTTTGCAGATTATGGTTTTTTTTTTTTTTTTGAAGGGCTTTTATTTTTAATGTAATTTTTTATACTATGTATTTGGGAGCCTACCAGGTGCCAAGTTTTGTAGCATTACTGTAAGAGAATCATAATTCATAGAAATAAAGTGCAGGGACGCCTGGGTGGCTCAGTGGGTTAAAGCCTCTGCCTTTGGCTCAGGTCATGATCCCAAGGTCCTGGGATTGAGCAGCTCTCTGCTCATCGGGGAGCCTGCTTCCTCCTCTCTCTCTGCCTGCTTCTCTGCCTTGCTTCTCTGCCTACTTGTGAGCTCTGTCAAATAAATAAATAAAATCTTTTAAAAAAGAAAGAAAAGAAAGTGCAGAGGTAAAGAACTATTTCGTAAATGACACACAAAATTTTCCAATTTGAATTTGTGTTTGCTTCTAAATTTTTGTATCTTTATTCTACTGGTTACCTACTTGCTGTGACTAGGTAGAGTAACTACAAAAATTTAAGTTAAGGAAAACAAAAGCATTGCTTATCTCTTAAATGGAGACATTTTGAGGGGTCAATTTGTCTTTTTTTTTTTTTATTTAAATTTCAGATAAGAGTTCTTGTGCTAGCCCTTCTCCCAGGAGTTTATTTTGCTCCTTTCTAAAAGTGTATTTAAATACCCAGCATAGTGTTGAATTCCTTTTTGGAACCATTTGGTACTATTAATTTCAAGTTTGAGCAGTAAAGGCCCTTTCTTTGGTTATACCCTGTACCCCAGAGACAGGAATTGGTCCTTCTCGCCTGCTTCTTAAGCCCTTCCCTGCATGTTAATGATGCTTTGGATCCCTGTTCTGTCTGGCCCAAAGATTTTGCTTCCCATTGCTTTTTTCTGAGGAGCTCTCTGATTAGTTCTGGCTCTGGAAATAATGATTGGTGCTTTCTTGCTAATATGATTACCTGAGCCACCAGATTACTGGGGTTTAAATAAAATGTTAGTAGGCTGTTCTAATAGGCAAGTTTTGCTTTTACTTTTTCCCCTGAAAAGACTTCATTAAGGGTTGGGACCCATGCTACAAATCAGTAGCAGAGAGATTCTTTCTTACGAGATGAGACGCCGGACGACTTGGACTAATGCTCTTGCTGTTCCCACAGGCTCCTACCCAGAGATTCTATCCAGTGAAACTCCCACAGCAACGCAGGTAGACGGGGCTGACCTGGCCTCTCCAATGTCTCCTCGATCTAGCAAAAGCCGCATGTCCATGAAGCTGCGTCGATCCTCTGGTTCAGCCAATAAATCCTAAGGAGACAAGCAGCCTAGCAGTGTAATCAGCAGTAACCACCTTAGCATGAACATAGTGTTAACCCTTTCAGGGCTTCGTGTATGCCATAACATGCATGTTTCTTCCTGAACATTTATTTTAGAAAACACTGGATTTAAATAATTTGTAACTTAATATTTTAGATTTGGGTTGTTTATTCAGTTCTTTCCCCCACACACACACACTCTAAGCTGCCATATTTGGCGGGGTGGGGGAGTTTTATTCCACACCCTTTACCTTCCTGGATAATTATGTCTAAGCAGTTTTACTTTTAATTTCATGATTAACTTTGAGCCAAACTATAATTGGACAGATAGTCTCATTATTTTATTTATTGTGCCCCATTGCAACTTTATGGCTCAGTAAATATATAATTTTTTTTACAAATGTAAATTTTTAAATTTAAGCATTTGTAAAGTTACAACAAAAGTTGCAAATCTTAATAATAGGGTATTATGGATTATTTATGTTATGAAATTAAAACACTTAAAATAAATGGTCTTTTAGCATCTCAAATTCCAACTGACATAATTTTAGCATTAACTTTTTCTTCCCAAAGCAATGCCTCATTTCTTGGCTGTGCAGATGATGCCATGATATATCTCATATCCAGAAAAATCACTGTGCTGACCTTTGATTTGTGTTTAGCTTCCAAATATTTTTCTAAGGTTTTGCTTTTTAAATGGTATCACTGTTAAATGCCATTTTTGTTTTGAGATTGTGGCCCTGTATATTGGCTGCTGGATCCTGGTTTATCTGTGTTCTTAACTGAGTACCAAAAAGAGGGTAATTGAGGGGGATGGAGAGGAAGAAAAAAAAGAAAGAAAAAACTTTTCTGATACAAATGTGTTGCTTAAATTATGTGTATTTTAAAAGAAAAGGGAACATGACCCAGGAGTCTAAATTAAATCTAATGTTATTAATACTGAACTTGCTGGTGCAGGTTGGTATTCATTCCACCCTCTAGGAATATTTTCCTACAGTAAATAAGCTGCTCACATTTTGTTCATATTTTGTTTTGAACGGACTTCTCCTAAGGAAATGTAGCATGACATCAGTACTAACTGCATGTGTAAATACATCATACGGGCAAACTATAAAATATAAATTATGTATCATCATTCATGTAGTATCTACAAATTTGTAACAGTGAAAGAAAAAGATATGGTATTTAATAATACAATAAAAATATTCTTATCACTTACATCCATGACATTTATATTTCTCTTGTCTATTTGTCTTTAATATGTTTTCAGGCTTAATAAGCGGAACTATATGATTAGTGGAGAGATATATAAGCATAAACCTAGGTTATCTTAGCAAATCATGAAAAAGGAATTTGAATTCCCTTGTTAGGATACACCCCAACTTCTCAGAGATTTTACCATAGTCACTGAAAATGCAGGCAATTTTACCTTCATAACGGCTAGCCGGAATGTTTACCAGTGCACTTGGTTAAAGCATCAATTAATCTTAGACTCATGCTGCTTTGACTTTTAAATTTTCAGTTTCTCTTATAATGCACTTTGAGGGGGGAGACCTTTTGCAGACAGTTTCTAAAACCACCTTCTAGAGTTCTGTGCACTTAAGTTTTTGTTTTCTTAAAAATAAAAATAGATTGCTATGAAACTGTAGAAAATAAAATCTATGAATGCTTATGGAGAAAATAAACAGAGTCCCTGAGAACAAGGTTAAACAATACAGTTTCCCACAACCAAGGTGAAGAATTCAGAAAGGAAAATCAAAGTAACTATTTACACATTTCTATGGTGCTTTCATTTTTTAAAAATGAACAGCTAATGGATTGATGATCTGTAAAATTGAGTAAAAACACCAACTTGGAAATAGTGAAGTTAATTTGCATGGTTAACGTGATTTTTTTCATCTTTAGATAAAACTGCTTATTTTTTCCCCCAGAAAAAATATTTATATTTTCTGTTGACATTTTTAGGTAGTAAAGTGTCTTTAGATTTAAAGCCTTTTGGAGCTCAGTCTGTGCAAGCCATACTTCAAGGGAAATTTTTCCATTGCATTTCTGCACCATTACATTCATGGACAAAATATAATTTTTCCTGTCTGTATTCTGTCTAAATGGGTCACTAAGATCCTAAAGTAGGATACTGGCTTTGGGGAGATAAGAAATGTGACTTTGAAAAATAGGCTGTGTTCAATGAAATTCTCAGGACACACACAGAACACAAAAAGCACCAGCTATGTACATTTATTTGGTGGTAAGCATCTTACAAGTATGGGCTATCTGTCAAGCAATACTCAGCCAGTGTCCCAAACTCTGGCTATTAGAGCATGGGTACAGAGTGTACACTGAATATGGTTTACAAAAATTCAAAAACAGGTTGCTGCTGAAAAATGAATATTGAATGAATTACCATTCAATTCCATAGTGGATTATAGATATTAACATCTTCCTTAAACTGAACATAGTTTCATAAATAACACTGCGTGAGATTTACAACGGAAGGATTAAACAATTTGGATGAAACCCTATTAAAACAGTCAAACTTCTGGAAATAAGTTGTGTTTCCAAAAAGCTGTTATTTAAAGTTTTAAAGTATCTCTTCCTGAAAACACACCAAGAAAGCTAAAGGTGAGAATTTTGGGGGTGTCCCAACTCCCTCCAAGTAAAGTGGCACCCTCCCCACCTCCAAACACTAACTTAAGAATGGACTAATACTTGAGAAAAGGAACGTTTACAGGGAGATAGCCACGTCCCCCAAAAGCGCAAACATCCTCTTACATTTCCTGCCCACAGGCATGGGTCTTAAGTGACCCCCCCCCCGCCCCGTTAAGTTTGGCACCAATCACATAACTTTCAATTCACAGAATATACAATGCAAGATATCTGACCCTATTGAGACAGAAACTACATAGGCGCCTGCGATGGCAAGAGGAAAAAAAACATTAAGGACTACCATTTTTGGTAGCTAGAATCCTTTGTAGATATTGAAACATGCACGCATTCACTACGACTTTCCATAGGAATTACAAGTCATATAGGATTCATTAGGGTCTCCAGAGTGAGGGGGGAAATCCTATTTTCGTGGGGAAAGCAAGAAGGCTTTAAAGTGACGGTCCTTTACCGCGAATGTTTATACCATATACATACCTGCTCTAGAGAGGGACTTTACATTTCGCTGTCCGCTTCTCTGGCGGAACATGGACTACTGGGAGTTTTAAGAGAGAAAAATAGAGGCAGGAAAGAGGGTAAATTGCAAATTCAAGAAATCCCCACAGAAATTCCCATTATCTGTTTCCTCCAAGGCCAACCGCACAATCTTCCTCATCTCCTTCCTCAACAGCCAGGCCTCAACGGCATCTGCAGCAGCAGTACCTGCCGACTTTCTGAGGGGTGGCACTTATTTATGTGCCGGGTCAGCCCTGGGGAGCTAAAAAAAGTGGACGGGCAGTGCTTGCACGAGAAAATTTGCTGAGCACTCCCGTCGGATTCTCCGCCTGGGCTCGGTGCTTCAGCGGGGGCCCCGGCCAGAGCAGGCAGGAGCAGCTCCTCGCGGACCGCGTGCCACAGCCGGTGTTTGTCCCTGATATCTGCGGACGGGAAGTGCGCCCCGCACAGTGGGCAAGCGAAGGCGAGTGGGGCACAGTGTTCGGAGCCAAAGCCCGGGGCAAGCGCACGAGCGGAGCCTGCCTCGTGAGTGCCTAGGTGCTTGCGCAGATAGGCTTGGCGACGGAACTTTTTGTGGCAATACGGACACATGAAGATCTCGGGTCCCCCAACACCACTAGCACTACCTGGCCCAGGCATCCGGCGCCCCAACACCCCCTCCGTATAGGGGACCTGAGGCAGCGGTGGCTCAGGGTGTGACAGCACGGGGAGGCCCTGGTGTGGGGCGCTGTCCTGGTGCTGCTCCGCCCTGGAGCTGTCCCTCGCCTGCAGGTGCTGATCGGCCCCTCGCTCTACCCGGCTGTTCTCCTTCCCCTCCGCCAAGAAAGATGCAACAGCCCCGGAGTCTGGGGAGGTCGAGGAAGACGAAGGAGGCGGCTTCCCGTCGGCTGAAGACACTGTGGCTGCATTTGCCGCTGCGGGACGCGGTTTGTGCCAGCGACGATGGGAGGCGAGGTTCGCAGGGCAGCTGAAGACCTTGTCGCACTCAGGGCAGCGGTACTCGACGCGTACGATGCGGGAGCAGCGGTGCTGAGCCAGAGCGAAAGGGTCCGCGTACTGCTCCTTGCATAGCTGGCAGATAAACTCCCCCAGTGGCGTGCGGCTGCCCCCCAGACCCCGGGATGGTGCTCCGGGCTCCTCCTCCTTAATCTTCAGGCCCAGGACTGGGGACGTGGTCACTTCATCGGTGAAGTTCAACTTCCTCATCGCCTTTGGCTTCTTGACTCCGGCGGCCGCAGGTCCAGACGTGCAGCCCGGAGGTGCCTTGGCACGGCGCTCATTGCCAGCGGCCCGCTTCAGGCCATGCAGGGTGGCCGAGAGGGGCGCAGGGTCTGGGTGGAACTCTGGCTCTGGGAACGGTGCCCGGAGCGGCAGCAGGAACTGCTCCCCCGAGGTCGGTGCAGCTGCTGGCGCCGCGGAGCAGGAGAAAGCAGCCACGGCGGCGGCACCCCCAGGGAAGGACTCTGCAGAGACGGGTGAGCTGAGGCAGCGCTCCAGGAATGCCCGGCGCAGCTCCGCGCCCGCCGGCTTCGTGGGGCTGGGGCTCGGCCCGGGACCCTCCCTACCATCCGCCCCCCACTCCGCAGCACCTTCCTGCCTGCCCTCCCCCGGGCTCACCCTAGCCGCCCGACAGGACAACCCCGACAGTTCACGGGCCGCCGCTGCCTCCTCCAAGGTGGGGGGTGCCACCTGCTCCGTACTGGGCTGGGGGGCACTGGAAGCCTCCTCGGGGAAGGGCGGCGCCCCCTGGGGCCCCAGCCTGGGGAAGCCCCGCTCAGCTAGGCGCACTCGATATGAGCCGCCTGTCCGTTTAGTTCGCTTTACCAGGAAGCCCCTCGGCATGGTGGAGTCAGGAGAGCTCAGGGGGCAAAGAGTAAAGGGGGCGCCGTGGGGGCTGAAAGCTGGAGAGCACCGCAGCTACCCCAGCTTCGCCACAGCCGTCATGCGTGGGCTGCCTTTATAGCTGAGACTCTGGCCGGGGGACCACCGGTCGCCTTCAGGCAGGACCGGCCAATCAGGAGTGGGAGCGGGCGCCAGGGGCGGGGTTTTCGCCTGTCTGGGCTAGCAGGGGTCCGAGAGGCTGGTGGCCGCCCGCGCCCCCACCCCACCTCGCAGCGGCCTGCCTCAGCAACTGGCTTAGAGGCTGCCCAGGCCGCCTCCCCCGCCGCCCACCCGGGGAACGAAGATACAAAAAGGTAAGATTCCAGAGTGTGATTAAGCTCGGCACTCACCGCCACAGCTGCCTCCAGGGAGGGAGTGTCCAGTGAGCCAGGCGGAGAGGCAACCGATGGGCGCTCTCCTTGTGGGCCGGGACCCTGCTGCCCAGACGCGAGGGACTCTGATGGAAGCCGAGAGGGAGGAAGTCGAGAGGAAGGGACCGCGGGCGGCGCGTGCCAGGAGGCAACGGGGTGGATGTCCGCAGGGGAACGGGTTAACGTGCTCTGCCCTTATTGAGCTGATAAGAAGCTGCGACCGAGCGGCAGGGCGGCTAAATCCACCGCCCTGTGCCTACACTTGACGGTGGGAGCACGTCTGCCATCCAGTATCGATCGACACTGCGCGCGTCTGTGATACTATGAGAATTCATCTGGGAAGAAGGGCTCTCAGTGCGGGAGATCGTGCGTGCTGGCAAGCCTCTGGAGCTCAGGACGCCAGGCGGCTTCTGGACCCTGGTCCTCAGGGCTTATAAACGTCCCCTCCCTGGTGGGAAAGGAATGGGGAGGGGAAAGTGGGATCTAATTTTCGACTGTCCTCATATAAAGTGGTTTCTCTGTTCACACCTTCCACTTGTACTACCCAGAGACATGACTTAGTGCCTAACTGACCTGTTTAGCATGGAGTAGATTGGGTGAGAAATACTAGCAGAATCAGGATTACATCTGCTTCCCCTTATACAAGGAATACTTTGAAAAATGTGTGCACGGGGCCAGATTTAATAGATTTTCATCCAGCACTCTGTAATGTGACCAGCACTGTTTAAGCACTAGAAGAGATTTGAAATTTTGTAATACTAGCTGAACTATGAAATAATTTAAAAATTTGACAGAGGTATAATAAAGTGCCAAAAGTCCATAATACAATGTGAGAATAGGAAGGGGAAAGAACTCAAATCTCCTTACTAGACCAAATTGGAGACAAAGACTTAGTAAGGTGTTTTTAAAGTAGACTATAACAGATGTAGTCGTCAATATCCTTCTAAAGCGAATGAAGTGTTTTTACAGGGACTGCATTATTTGGGGGAAGACCTGGAGGTAATTATATATTTGTTAATCATTAACAAAATTTTAGGCATTCTACTTAAGTAATCTCTAATCTTTTCACATGTACACACGAGACAAAAGAGATACTATTACACTCCCTTTTTTTGATGAGGAGATTGAGCCAAAGAAATTAGATAAATAACTTGCAAAAGTCACCCAGAGCTCAGACTCAAACTGAGTTCTGGCTAATTCCAAAGCCCAGATGCTTTCTGCCACACCAGTGGTTCCAAAGTATTTTTGGGGGGGAGGGTGTTTACATCCCATAGTAAGAAATATATTTTATGGTACACATATGGAACTGAAGCAAAAATGTCACAAAATAATATTTAGTTTAACTAGGTATAATACATTCTTGCATTTTCTGTGCAATTAAATTTTCTTTTTTAAAATGATAGCAAAAAGATTGATTTCATAACTTACTAATTTGAAAAACACCTTCCTTATGGTGCTTCCCATTACAAAGCATGAAATAATACAAAATTAAATAAACTTGATACTTTATAATCAGAATTAACATTCTGAATCACTTTGTAAAATATTTGAGTCCTTGAATAGTGTTGATAAATTTAGTTTCCCAAAATTTGATCATTTCCGACACATCAGTTTATGTATGACTTCTTCCTCAACTTCTTCTCAACTTCTCTTTTCCTTTTTCTCCTGATGGCCTGGATATATTGTGTGGCATCAAAAATTTTAAGTAAGATTTTAATACTTTAAGACAGCCCTTTTCCAGGGAAGGCTTTTCCTCAGGTGTATGTAGTACTTTGTAAGAATTGCAACCATATGACTCAGCATTTGTGTGTCTAGGTAATACACAAAAGAATTGAAAACAGGGACTGAAACATACACTCATACACCAATGTCCACTGTAGCATTATTCACTAAAGCTCAAAGATGGAAACAACCCAGTATCCAACAAAAGATAGATGCATAAACAAAATGGAGTATATACAAATGACAGGATCTTATTCTGCCATAAAAAAGGAATGAAATGATGATCCATACAACACAGGTAAGTCTTGAAAGCCTTATGCTAAGTGAAATGAGCCAGAAGAAAAGACAAATATTAAAAGATTTCACTTACATTGAAACACCTAGAATAGGCAAACTCATAGAGACAGACAGGAGATTATTGGTTATCAGGGGTCGGGGAAATGGGAACTTAGAGTGTCATGGTTACAGAATTTCACTTTAGAGTGATAAAAAAAAATGTTTATTAATAGCGGTAAAAAAAAGTGATAGATGGACAACATTGTGAATGCTGTCAATGCCACTGAATTAACAAACTTAAAAATTGTTAAAATGGGCATTTTGTTGTATGTATTTTACAATAAAGAATTTATACACACACAGAAAGAAGTCAGCAAAATTATGGCATATCAGACTACAAAAGGAATATAAAGGACTAGGTCATGTACTTTGGACTTTATAGCATAGGACAGGCACAGAATCTAATTTAAAGGTTTTAAAAAATATTTATTTATTTGAGAGGAAGAAAGCACGCTGAGAAGGGCAGAGGGGGAGGGAGAGGAGAGAAAGAATCCTAAAGCGGACTCCCCACAGAGCCTGAGGAGGGGCTCAATCCCACCACCAGGAGATCATGACCTGAGCTGAAATCAACAGTCGAAATCAACAGTCGGAGGCTTAACCAACTTAGCAGTCCAGGTGCACCAGACCCCACCCACACTTTTTTTTGAAAGTCATTTAAAGTTTTAAAGTGAGGGAGTGACATTTGCTTTTGAAATTGCATGAGGAAAAAATCTCTTTGACTGAACTTTCTGCCAGACAGAGAAAGGGAAACATAAATATAAGACTCTCCTTCCCTCAGTCCTTCCCCTTCCAACCAACTGAGAACATGGGTCTGTTTCTAGAAAAAAATAAAATGAAGGAAACTTAAAAAGTCAAAAGATCAGGTATAATGGAAGAACACTTAATGAAGTGATTGGCATAGACCTGATAGTCAATACATTTTTTTCAATAGTGCTAGTTATCAGATGGACAGTAAATGTGTCATCCCACTATCCTTCCAGCCATCCTGTCTTCCACTGTACATCTCTTCAATCACCCATCAAATAATTGCTGTGTATTCTTTCTGTGATAGTTCAGAAACATAGTGTTCAAGGAGTATCTATCCTCTGTTATTTTCAGGAAAACAAACTTGTCTAGGAGAGGGCTTGGCCCACCTGGAGCTGTTATTACTTCTGATGACCACTTTACAGAAATTCACCCCAAAATCTCTGGTTGACCTGAAGGACATGGATATCACCCCAATTGCCAAAGGGTTCCCTTCTGTGCTGTCATCAACCAGTTCTGCTTCATTCCTGTGTAAGGAAGGACAGACTGAGTGTTGCTATTCTCTGGTCCTACAGCTCCCCCCAGGCATCATTACCCTCTTCCCAGGAATGCCTGCTCTGACCTCTCCTCTCTCATGCCCCTGTTCTCTCAACATCCAGTCCCCATCTCAACTCCATCAAAGGAGAGTTTCCTGAATTTCACCGCAAAAACTCAATGGCTATTCTCCACACTCTATAACACTGGGCAGCCCATAGGTTAATACTTAGCTAATATTGAGTTAGTACTATGTTATCACTATGACACAAGGCAACTAATGGTTACTATATAACAACACACAGCCATTTCTCCTCTGTGTGTTCAAAATAAAAGGCATTTTTTAAAAAAATTGCTGTCAAGTATTTTCTAACAAATCCAAAAGTTCCAGTGGTTCTCCTTCTCCAGATAACCCCTGTCCCAAGTATAATTTAATAAAACCTTACTGGAAATCAGTGCGGTGATATATAATGGAAGCTTTTAAAAATATGTGTACTCTTTAATTCACCAATTGCTTTTTTAGTAAATCAGTCAAAAGAAAGACAAAGATTTATGCACAAGACTATTTATCACATGTTATTTATAATTATAAAAAATCAGAAACTACCTTGAGTAAATCTTGGGGCAGCTACACCAAAGATGAGTAGAGAGCCATAAAGACACAATGATATGGACAAATTTGTGCCATAATGGTCAGCAAAATCACCAGGATGCAAAATTGCAGGTACAATAAGGAGCTCAATTATGGAAAAAACAAGGCAATATGCCAAAATGTTGTTGGAGTTGTCCCTAGTTAATAGGAATTTTAGTCTTCTGTTTTTTAAAACTTGACTAAAAATTTTGGCAGTTAGCATATATCACTCTGATAATCAGAAAAAAAAAAAATGAAAGGGGCCTTAAGACCTTTGCAGTGTTAGATGTAGAATCCCACTCCAAGGACACTGTTGGAGCAATGAGAGTGCAATATGAAATGGGAATTGGATGGAACAGTAGATTTCTCCAGAGCCACCTGTTTGAGCTCTGGCCTCAGAAAAGAAGGGGCATGCTTTATCATGCCACAGGTCTTCTAGTTGAAAAACACTTTGGGGGAAAAGATTAAGGGTTAGAAGGTAGAAAAATGGCTAAAAGGTAGGGGAGACAAAGAATGTAGGTAGATACTCTTCACTTATGTATACACTTAAGTAAATCCCTCAAGATCTGAACACTTCTTTCTCCATTTTTTCACTTAGAAATTATGATAAGAGAGGACAGTCCCTAGCAAGATTGTGAAAACTTTATCTGTACCGTCTCTCTTGACAGTGACATCTCTTCCCCTTTTTCAACACACAGGACCTCCAGCTGCTTTGTTAAAATTTGACAAAAACTCACACTGAATCATCTCTCAAGCTATTGTGTTAA